CTTGATGCAGGTAACAAGGGGAGTCCTAAGGATGGGGATGGAGACACCGGGATCTCTGGGTGTCTGTGAGGGTGCAAACACCATGTCCTTGCAGTGATATGTCCCTTCTCGTTCTCTTTGCTCAATCCCAGGGGCTGATGGAGACCAGTGTCCACTGGGATTCATCCTGGACCCTGGACAGCTGTACTGCGTTGGTACGGACCCTTCCCGAGGGGGGCATGAGGATGGCGAAGGGCACCTGGTGCCACTTCCCCATCCCCCCAACCCTGTCCTCTCTCTGCTGCCCAGATGTTGATGAATGCACCGAGGGGTCCCACGCCTGCCGCTACAACCAGCTCTGCCAGAACACTGCAGGGAGCTACCGCTGCCCCTGCCCTCCCGGCTACCGCGCGCTGGGCGTTGGCTGGCCGTGCCTGGGTACGAGCTGGGCTCTCAGGGGACACATACTTGGCCACAGGGCCATGGTCGCTCCCTTGCCCTGCTACAACCTCAATTTCGCCATCCAGCTGCAGCTCCTCATCTCTTTCCTCTTCCAGACATCAATGAGTGCCTGCAGTTTCCCCCACCATGTGCCTTTGAGTGTCGGAACCTTCGGGGCTCCTATGAGTGCCTGTGCCCCCCTGGCAGGACCCTGCTGCCGGGTGGACAGTGTGGCACAGCAGGGACGGATGGAGGGGACACAGTGGGCAGCACGTCCCGGGACCCCTCCCTGCGCTGGCTGGGGCCGAGGAGCCGCCCATGGGGACGATCCTTCTACACCCAGCTCGCCCTGCGCCGCGTGGCCAAGGATGCAGGGACGGGTGCCCGGGGCCCCCCCTGCCCTACAGGCTATGTCAAGAGGAATGGCACCTGCACTGGTGAGTGTGTGTCAGGGAAGGGTGTTGTGGATTGTTCAGAGGCCGCTTTGTCCCCAAAAAGTAACTCCTGTGTCCGTTTCTGCTCTGTCCCCCACACTTTGTTTGCACCCTGTGGTCTTGGCTGTGCTGGGAAAGGGAGGTGAGAGTCAGACTGTCCCAGGGCAGTGGGCAACAGAGGGGGCTGATGCTTCTCCTTCATCTCTCTCACCCCACAGACCTCGACGAATGCCAGTCGAACCAGTGCCAGCACGAGTGCAGGAACAGCCCGGGCAGCTACCACTGCCTGTGCCCCCCTGGCTACCAGCTGCTGTCCAATGGGAAGACCTGCCATGGTCAGTGTGGGGGTGCCGGGGGATGTCCAGTCCCCATAGTGCCCTGGGTGCCATCTTTCTGGGGCTGCAAGTCTTTCTCCTTCTATGGGAGGGTTGTTTCTAGGCTCAGCACCCCGCAGAGCCTGAATTTTTGTCCTGCTGCCCCAGTGTCTGAGAGCCCGGGGAAGGGGTGGGAAGGTGTGGGAGTCAGGGTTGGAACCTCCACCTCAGCTATGGCCACCCAGTACCCTCAGACTTGTTCCCTCTCTCCCTGCAGACACGGATGAGTGTGCAGAGGGCACAATCCAGTGTGGCTCGAGCCAGATGTGCTTCAACACCCGTGGAGGTGCCCAGTGTGTTGATGTGCCGTGCCCAGCCGGGTACCGGAGAGGCTCCAGCCCAGGGTGAGTCATGCTGTGGGACTCGGTGTGTCCATTCCATGCTCCTCGTGTCACCATGGACCCAGGTGTCCTGCCTGCTCTCTGACAACCCCCCCATCCCACATTCCCCCATCTCCCCTGCAGGGTGTGCGTGGGTCGCTGTGCCCCGTCCTGCGGCCCGGCCGGACCCCCCACGCTGCGGTACGAGCTGCTCACCCTGCCCCTCGGCATCGCTGCCCGCCGGGACGTGGTGCACCTCACCCCAGGCTCCACCCTCCGCCACCGCCCGGTTTTCACCCTGCTGGAGCAGGACCCTGGCAGCCCCTTCGCCCTCCGCACTGAGCAGGGCCGTGGCATCGTGTCCACCCTGCGCCCGCTGCGGGACCCCGGCACCCACCGCCTCAAGGTGCAGGCGCTGGCCCCGGGCGGGCAGAGGGCACCCAGCATCTTCCTCCTCATCATCTCCGTCTCTCCCTACCCCTACTGACACAGCCAAGGGACAGGAGGGGACGCAGGTCATGTCTCCTCCTGTCCCTCCCCACCGCACGGGTGGGGCACGTGGCTCAGGGAGCGCTGAGCTTGCACCTCTCCCCTCTCTCCCAGACACTCCCTCACCCCTCAGTCGTGTTCCCTCCACCCACTGACAATCCCTGACTCAGCAGGGTCCCTGGAGGGACAAGATATCCCACCAGTCTCTTGCAATCAGTTCCCAAATCCCAGAGCAAACACAGCTCTGGATGGCCTTGGCTGTGATCAGCTCCCAGCTGTGGGGGTGGGAGGATGAACTGGCCAGGGGTGCAGGGAGGGATCCCCTGGCCTGGGGAGGGCATGGGGCACCCTGGCATTAACCATGTATTAAATTGAAATAGTTGGTTTTGGGTTTGTTTTTTTTTTTAAATCCACTTGGTTTCTGTGCATACTTACTGATTTATAAAGGTGTTTTGTGGCTAAATATCAACCTGTGCCCAAAGAAAGCAGCTTCCTTCAGCATATAGGATGGGGCTGCCCCAGCAGCCGCCCAGAATTCCTGGGGCTTTGGACACCTCCCTGCCTGGCCTTGGACCACAGAAGGGAGATTGCCACATCCAGACATTGTCCAGTCCCTGAAGGTCCAATCCTGCCCCAGCATCTGGTCCCTTGGTCAGCAGGAGCAGGATGTGGCCTCTTTGCACGTAGTGAAGGTAGAGACTGTTCCCAAAACAGTTTCAGTGCTAGTCCATGGTGTGGGATGGTGGCAGTGCACCCAGGTGAGGGAGCTGTGGTCCCATCACTGGAGCCCACTCTTGCTGCACCTGTGTGCGGGCACTGAGATTTCCCCCGAAAGTCTCTGTCCTTTGGGATGGGGCTTTCCTGTCCCTCAAGGCCAGGTCTGTTGTTGGTCTGGGGTGTCCTGGGTACATGCAGGGGGGAAAGGTGGGTTTGTTCTGTCCCTCCTGCCCCATCTCCTCCTGCCCACTCAGGCTCCTGCATCTCCTGATAAAGCTTAAGATAAATCCAATAGTAGTTCAAATAAGTCTTGCTGGTCCAGGGAGGAAAGCCAGATTGTTGCAGAGCATTGGCTCCCCTCTGCCCCCCATTTTCCAACTCCCGGGGTCCTCCAGGGGAGGCTGCTGGGGGGTCAGGACTGGGGGGACATGGAAGGCAGCACCCAGAGCAGCCATACAAGGGCTGGGACTGGGCACCTGCTCCATCCCAGCTGGGGGGCAGCTGCCTCCTCCTGTTCTGCCGGGTATCCCGCGGGCAGGCAGAGCACAGGGCCTCTCCCGGGGACCGATGCCCAGGGGGGACTGTCCTGCGGCAGCTCCGCCTGCCCAGGCCCGGTTATAAAGGAGGAGGAGGAGGAGGAGGATGCTCCAGGCACCGGACCAGAGTACGGAGGGCAGCTGGGCACCGGGAGTGGGTGAGTGCAGGCATGGGATGGGAGGAAGAGGGAAAAGGGGGCTTTTTGCCTTGGGAAATGTGTCCCCTCACCCCATCTGTCCCATTTCCACCCACCCACGCATGTCCCTCACCCCTGGGTGCTGGAGCAGGGCAGTGGGGTGCCAGCCCCTTCCCAGCACTGTGCAGGCTGCAGTCAAGCCCCTCCTAGCTCAGTTTGGGGTGGGAGGTTTCCAAGTGAATCCCATTTCTCTGAGGGTAATGAACGACGTTAAAACAGTCGTTTCACAACAGGGTCCCCTCACCCACCCCAAGGGAGGGCAGCTGGGACCTCAGCCCTCCCCACTCTGTGCTGGGGATTTTGGGGGGCAGGATGGGACCTGCACAAGGTGGAGGAGCGATGCTGAGACAAACCCCAGCACCAGTGAGCACATCCCTGCATGCCTCTGCTTCACGAAACCCTGGGAAGCCTGTTCCTGCCCCTCCTGCCTGCCCTTGCCCTTCTCCCTGCCCCATCCCAGCCCGCAGGCAGCATCCCGGCAGTTCTTCCAGCCCAGCTGGCAAAGACAGTTCCTTTCTTTACCAAAGTTTCGAGCTTTTCGTTCTCCTCTGATTTTTATATATTTCTTTTTCCCTGCTTTTAAAACCGAAAGCCCAGTGTTCCTTTGGAGCAGGGCAGCCAGAGTTCTCTCCGGTAAAAGCCAAACCCTGCCCCAACTCACACGGAAATTGCTACAGAATAATAATAAGGGCTGAGAAAGTCCTGCCGCGTTCCCCTTCACTGAGCTTTGTTTGCTCTGATTTATTGCCACCTAACACTGAAACTTCGGGGCTCTCCCTTCCTGGGCAGGCGGGCTTGGCACGAGCCCCGTTTCCAGAGCAGGGAATGCTGGTGGCCCCACACCCTTTCTGAGATGCAGGATGCATCTCCAGGGCAAAGTGCCCCCGGGCATTTTGTAGGCAGTGGGGACATGTCTGAGCAGGCAAAAGTTGGAAGTGTTTCCCTAAACCGCTGCTGGGCCACTTATGGAGTGAGCGTGCCCAGTCTCAGAGGTGCTTAGTCAGGCTGGCAACCACCACAGCGATGCTGGTGGCCACAGCAGGGATGAGTTTGAGGGTAAAGGGAGGAATTAGTTTCGAAAGGAGCCACTTGGGCTGGGCCCTTCTGGGAACTGCGACTGCCTTCCTGTAAATGCCCCAGCGAGGAAGGGACGGCTGAACCTCCCTGGGCAGGGACCCAGCTCGGCACGGCTGTGGGGCCCCACGAGCAGGGAAATGCCAGTTGCTCAAGCCTGGGCACTGTGCTGCCTGCGTGGCAGCCCGACGGGCACGGGCAGGCTCAGGGAGCCGGATGCAGGTTATGTGGCTGCCAGACCCCCTTTGCTCCTCAGCATGAACCTGGCAGTGGCCGGGCAGATCCTGCTCTTGAGTGGCTCCAAGCCGTGCCCGTGGGATGCTGGCAGGATGTGGGTGCTGGGGCACACCCCGGCATAACCACAGCACTCTGGAAGAGGTTCCCGGTGCACCAGCCAGGAGCAGCCCAGCAGGGCGCCTTCCCTGCCTGCAGGAGCAGGATTGTGCTGACTTGGCAGCGGCAGTAGCATGAAAGTTGCTCAGGACAGGAATTGGTCGGCTCTGCTGTCCGCCTCCCCCGGCCAAGGGTCAGCTGGCATCGCCTCCTCCTGGGGCCCTGGGATTCACAGCCTGGCCCCGGGGCCGCAGAGCCCCTTCTTGCCCGGGATCTCCATCCCTCCACCTGAGCTCCAGGCCTCTTCCACCATCTCCTGTTGTTGTCTCAGATCCTTGATATCCTTGTCTGGAGGGTGAGGGGCAATGAATCCCCACGTAGATGTTTTGTGCTGGCAGAAAACACAGGCAGCGTAATTGGGACAAATGCACCATAAGCATTAATTAGACTTGGGGCTGGGCTGGGCTCTGGGGGGACAGTTCCAAATCCCCCAGTTCCATGCCCTGCAACCATGTCACGCCCAGCAGTGCCAGAGGGCACTTGGGGCTGAGCTGGTGGGTGGCTCTCTGCAGAGGCCTGAGATGTGCTGGGTCGTGCCCGAGCAAGGCATCGAGCTGTGCCTTCACCACAGCTGGGCGCCTGCGCCTGAGTTCCAGCCCCCTGGCATTGCAGGGTGCTTGCAGAGCGTGGGGCAGGCTGCTGCAGGGTTGTCAGCATGGAGAAAAGGTAAGCTCTGATGGGTGCCCTGGCATCCTCCCATCGCCCAGCCACCATCAGGTGCACTGGCTGGTGCACAGGCAGGGTGTCCTCCCTGGCTGGGAGCTGCAGCCTGGATGTGGCCATGCTGCTGTGGCTTTTCCTCCTGCTCCCAGCCCTCCGTTTGCTCCCTGCAGCCCCAGGAGGGCTCTTGGTTCAACTGATCCTTCCTGATGGCTGCAACAGGGGCTGAGGGCATCACAAACCCCTTTTCCTTTGCTTTGTCAGCACTATGGCTCAGTCCAAGGGCACGGTGGTCCTCGCCTACAGCGGGGGCCTCGACACCTCCTGCATCCTGGTGTGGCTGAAGGAGCAAGGCTATGATGTTATCGCCTACCTGGTGAGCTCTGTTCCAAACCCCATCATAGGAACCCTGTCCCTGGGGGCTGGGGGTGGAGGGAGTGCTGAGCTGCAGTCTGGGAACCTGGGTGGGTGACAGGGCTCCTGGTGTGTGTGTGGCTGTAGGGGTGATCCTGGCCTCACTGGTTAACCATTGCCCAGCCTGGGTGTTTATCTGTTGGGCTGACTGTGTGGCACAGCCTGTTTCTGCCAGATAATGACCCTCTGCTCATGAGGGCAGCAGATCAGGGCTTGGCAGAGGGGTGCATGGCCATCTCAGGGGGGAACCCCTCTCCTGCCCACCCTGGGTGGCCTCAAGCCCAGCCAGCACGGGCTCTGTTATGCCGTGCGTGATGCCTCGTGCCAGACTGGGCTTGCACTGGGGTTTTGTGGTCTCCTTTCGCATTCAGTCTTGGTACTTTTTCCTCCTTTCCAGGCCAACATTGGGCAGAAGGAAGATTTTGAAGCAGCACGAAAGAAAGCGCTGGCACTGGGGGCCAAAAAGGTAACAGTGTCCCTCCCTCTGGGGGCTCTGAGCTCCCCCTGCTCCCTGGTGTGGGGCTGAGCCCTGGGGTCTCACATATCCCATTGCTGGGAGGAGGGGCAGCACCAGTGAGAAATCCCTTTTCCAGAGGTTTTGCACCAAAGCCTTTTAGCAGCATCTAGGAAAGGGGACACAAAGGGACCTGTTACTGCACTGTCCCCAAATCCCTAGAGGAGCAGGTTCTCCCCTTAGCCGCCCTCCCATCAGGACGCTCCCTCTGTGCCTGCAGGTTTACATCGAGGATATCAGCAGGGAGTTTGTGGAGGAGTTCATCTGGCCGGCAGTGCAGGCCAACGCGCTCTACGAGGACCGGTACCTGCTGGGCACGGCGCTGGCCCGGCCCTGCATTGCCCGCAGGCAGGTGGAGATCGCCCGGCGAGAGGGAGCCCAGCACGTCGCCCATGGGGCCACGGGCAAGGTGAGGGAGGACGGGGGCACAGGGCAGGGAGCTGGCCAAGCTCTGGGTGCACGGCGTGTTTTGTGGGTGCTCTGCAGGGCCGTGCAAAACTCAACCGTGTTTCAACACTTCCTTCTCGCTTCTGGGATTTCTGTGCCTGATTTCGGTTCCCTCTCCCTGTCGGGAAGGCTGGAGTCAGAGCCGAACACCCTGTTTTGGGCAGCAGCTTGAAAATGCTGCTACAGACTGGGGCTGTCCAGGCCAGGAGCCAGCTGGGACTGAGCCAGCACCCTCCGTGGTGTTTAGGGGCATCCTGGGATACATGAGACTGTCCCAGTCCCTGTTCTGGTCCCTGTTCACATTCCTGTCCTCAGCTCTGGCTGTCCCGGTCCCTGTCCCCATCC